ACCTGGACTGCTGCCAAGCCTAAGAGGTGGCAGCCCTTGTCCCTGTCATGTGGGTCAAGACTGGCCCAGCAGCGGAGGGCCACTGAGTGTTTCTGCTTGGTGGAATGACTGTGGTAGATGCAGGCTGACCTGGGGGGGCGCAGAAGTCAAGTGGTGAGGAGGAAGCGGGCTGCCACTCAGCTGCCCCCACCCCCCAGGTTCCCCATCCCACTGATAGCGCTGGCCTGGGCAGCCTATCTTGTCCTCTCTGTAGGCTGCAGTGTGTGGCTCCCTCCCTCTGGCTTCCCTTTTCATTCGTAATCCCACAGTGCTCTGTGTGTACCCTGGGGGAGGTACCTGTGCTAGGTAGGAGTTGTGCTGACCTGAAAAAAATAGAAAAAGGAGTTGGGGAATCAGCTGAACACAGGCCAGTGGGCTCGAGCACCTCCCTTGGGAGATGGCTTCACCCCTTCTCCCTTTGTGCCCAGGCTCTGCCTGGCTTGGTTCATGACACCGTGTGCAGTGACGGCGCCGAGCTGTCAGATGTGTTGGCTGTGAGGCCTTGTTGGAGCCGAGGTGAGAGCGTCAGGAACAAAATGATCATTACAGGCCATTCAAGTCGACAACGTTTAGACCTTGGTGTTTGCTCTGAAGCAGAGGCAGGAGCTAATTTGCAAGGCTGCCTTTGTGGAGCTGCCTTTTGATCAATGATCGCCTCTGTTAATGTTTCAGTAAGCTATTGATTTCTGCAACAGCTTTTGTTCCTGAATTTATGTGCAGCGGGTCTCTGCTGCATGCACTATGCATGTTTGATTAAAGTTCAATTGACTTCATTCCTAGCGAGGCCGCAAGCTGCTTCACTCCCTATTTGTAGAAGCAAAGCTTTCCCCGACGTGTTCTTTTTTGTGTGCTCAAGACCTAGCCACCCATGCAGTCACAGATACACTGCTTCTAATCTTCCCAGATCTGCGCCATTCCAATGTTAATCCCTCCATAGACATTAGAGTGGTTGAGGCAGCTAATAAAACCTGGTCTGGATTTGTTGTTATTTCATCAATTTTATTGACATGTAATTGATAAGTGTCATGTGTGATATTTATATGATTAAAATGTATCCACTTTATCTGCACTCTTCGATAAGTTTTTTCAGAGTGGGGCGTGTTACCGGGGATTGAACTGAGGACTATGCGCTTGCCAGGCAGGCGCAGTGCCACTGAGCTCAATCCCTGGCCTGTCTTCAGTAAGTTTTGACAATGTATACATCCAGATAAATAACACCACCATCGATTTATAGATGATTTCTACCACCCAGTGGTTACTTGGGTTCTTTGCAAGCACTTTCCTGTCCCCTCCTCCAGGCTCTAGGCAACCAATGCTTTTTGTGATTATAGATCTGCCTTTTCTAGAATGAAATCATATCAGTTCTCCTTTCTTTTGGTCTGGTTGCTTTCTGGCATTCACAGGGATTCACCCACATTATTGTATCTGCAGTTCCTTTGTATCACTCAAGTAGTATTCCAGTGAATGGCTGTGCTACAATCCAGTTACCCATTCTCCTTCCAATGGTCATTTGTGTTGTTTCCCACTTGGAGCTACTGAGAATAAGGTTCTCTGAACATTTGTATAAAAGTCTCATGTGAACATGCTCTTATTTTGGGGCAAGCAGCCTGAAGTGGAATGGCTGGGTCATATATGATGGGTGTTTGCTTAATGTACTAGACACAGAGCCGTATGACCTTTTGATGTCTTCACTCGCTGCATGAGTTCAGGTCACTCCTCTGCCTTCCTGAATGTTAAATTTGTACTCATCCATTTTCTTACTGAGGTTGAATTCAGGTCTGTGAATATGGGGTCCTTTTGCCTGGTCATTTTGGTCTGGCACTTAGTTGATGAAATCTATTCTCAACTCCTAGTTCTTGTTTAAAATCTGTTAGTTATGTGCTGACAAAAAGCTGGTCTTGATTTCTGTGTTGGGCTCCTTTTTTCTTAGGTTTGATATTCTCACCTGCTGATGGGCATGGCATGGGTGCAAGGTGGAAAATGCTCAGCTGGCTTTCCTGGAACCTCTCTTCTGTCTTGTTGTGTGGTGTCGGGACAGTTGCTTAGCCTCACTGAACTCTGGCTGCTGCGGTTTAAATCTGCAAGTTTTACTATCTTTTAAAACCATAGGAGACCCTTTGAGAACATTAATATTTGAGAAGTAGAGGTGATCAGTTGTAACTGTGCTAGGCAGAATCGGTTCATATGGACGCTGTTTAGAAATGTTGCGGTGGCTGTATCTCAGCAGCCTGGACAGAGACCCAGCTAGCTCTCCCACCTGATTCCCCACCCTCATCTTGTTCCCTTCCATCTCCTGCATCTTGGTATGTCTTCTGCCACTCATTGGTCCCTGAAATGAGTCCAGCCAGAGGAGGAGCTGGAAGGAAGTGCTGTGGGTTTTCCCAAATTGTTTCAGCGTTGGCCTTGGGCTGTGATCTATCAGACCAGTCTGGTCTGATATCAAAGTGATAAGCATGCCACTCTGCAAAGGATTGTAAAGGTGGCTGTGACCTGCCTCATATTGTGATCCCCCCACCATTGGAAAAACAGGGTCAGCTCGGTTTTCTGCCCATGGAGCAGAGGTCTCTTTGCCCCTGCCCGCACCCAGCGAATAGTGAGGGTACATGCATTTCCCAGTAGGGTGGCAGGAGCCAGGCAGGCTAAGTGTGTGCTGGTCACCACTGAGTAAAACATGGGTTAGAGATGTCAGCATCCCAGATGCAGATTCCACACCTTTCCTTGTCGCTCAAGACCACCCTGTGGTACCAAGGCATGCCTGTGTGGACATGAGTCTCACTCCTCACCCTGGCTGGGGTGGCCCTTCATCTGGTTGGCATTGGCAGTTGGTGGCATTTTATTAAGCGCTGGGCAAGGTTGAAACACATCCCTGACTCCATGAGTTAACCTGCTAGATGCCCAGAAGGCCCAGTTGGTCTTGCTTACAGCCCCCTTCTTAGAAAGTGCTCCAGCAGAAAGTCCAGCTCCAAGCAGGAAGAACTCAGCACCTGTACCTTCCTTGCCTTCTTTTCCCAGCCTGAGATCTGTGCACTGTTCTTGTCATGAAGTTCCAAGGTTATTGGCCCAGGGCTGTTGGGGAAAGTTGGCCTGCCTCTGTACTCTGTCCACCATGGGCGCTGCAGTCTTCCCAGTGCTTCTCTTTCCAGCTGGGCCTTGGCTCCCTGGAGAACAGAGGTTTTGCCTTCTCTTGCATCAGCGCTTTCCTGAGCCAGCGGCTTGAGGAAGACATGATGGTGCTCTGCTGTGGGAGTCTGCCATTGATTCAGTGAGGGAAGAATAATGCAGTTGAGGATTGGGTACTGAGACTTTTTTCTTGGGACTTTGTTTTAAAGTTGGACTTGAGTCACCCAACCTTAAATGAGCATGTGCGTGCATGCCTGTGACCCCTGTGGGGACAGGACTGCCACCAGTGCCCTTTTGTAAAAAGTGGCATCTGTTGTATGTTCAGGGAGGCATCTTTCCTCCATCTCTGCAGGGCCACAGACAGAACAGCTCTTTGGTGTGTGTAGGCCGACCTGGGGACGGGCGGCCTGACTGTCTTCCTTTGAGGCCTAGTCCTGGCCCTGTGGACTTCAGGCCAGCTGTAGGCATTCAGATGGAGGGGAAGGCTGCAGGGCAGGGTCAGGTCCCAGGGTAGGGCCTTTTCCCTGCACACGTGTGATTGCAGTAGAATGTTGTGCACACCTGAATGCACACTGACTTGCACTCACATCAAGCTGGAACTCCCAGAGGTTAGGAGCATTGGTGTCTGGTACCTTGTATGCACCCAACAAATACCAGGTGAGGGTGAGTTCTTGGTGTTTAGAAGTTGAGTTCTGCTGGGCTAAGTTGCTAAGTTTCCCAGGCTGGGCTTGAACTTGTAATCCTCCTGCCTCAGCTTCCACAAGAGGTGGGATTACAGATGTGTACTACCATACCTGGCTCAGCTGGGCTTCTTGGGCACACCTGGCCATCTCCCACAGTTCCATTAACAGGCTTTGTTCTTATCTCCAGCAGAGCGGTTGCCACCCCACTTCCTGGCTGGGCAGAAGTGTGGTGGTGTGGTGTTGTGGGGTAGTTCCTTTAGAGGTGGCTCACCAGTTAGAAGTATCTCAGGTCCTTCTTGCCCTGAAAAAAAAAAACAACTGGAGACCAGCCGAAAATGGTCCCAAAAGTTTTATTTGGAAAGCTGGGAGTAAAGGAATAAGGGAAAACTGGTGTTGTAGAGCAAACATGAGCTGCACAGTGAGGAAAGAAAGGATAAAAGCAAACACGACAGTGCACTGTGCATCTCAGTGGGCCGCAGTGTGGAGTCAGGACTGCAGGCTCTTCGTGGCATCTGTGTCCTTAGGTGTAGCCCCGTCTAGTAGGGGCTCTCGAGAAGCTCTACGCACAGGGTCCTGGGAGTTAAGAGGTGCTGTCCTGGGATCTTGTACTTGACAGTCACACTCATTTTCCCAGCCACCTTCATCACACCCTATCTCCTGTATCAGTGGCGACACCCCTGAGGGACACTGCCCTCAGAGCCAGCCTTCTTCTGTGCAGGGGGAGCTGATCACCTTCTACTACTACTGGAAGAAAACCCCGGAAGCAGCCAGCTCCCGAGCCCATCGCCGGCACCGCAGGCAGGCTGTGTTCAGGAGGATTAAGACTCGGACTGCGTCCACACCAGTTAACACGCCCTCCAGGCCCCCCTCCAGTGAATTCCGTAAGTGGGGCCCTGGCACTGCACTGGGAAATGGGGGCCCGTGGAGCAAGGATCTGGCAGTCCCCACCAGCATATGCGTGCATGTGCATGAAGCCAGACCCAAGTGTAGTACTGATCACAGGTGGGGGGATTTCGCAAGGAGAGTTTTAAAAATGATTTGTACAGTTAAATATTTCCAGTCATTTTAAGTTTTTACAAACGTCAGCTTGGCTGTGGCCTGAGTTTTTCCACTCAGTGGAAGATGCGCTGTTTGAGGTCTCACCACACTTGCATTCTGGTGGTTTTCTTCTTCCTCCTGTTTTGCCAGGCCCTTCTTCCCAATCCCCACACACTGTGCACTATGACTCCCCAAAACTAGCGTGTGGCCCAGCGTGTCTTCCCAGCACTCTGGGAGGCGGAGGCAGGAAAATCCTGAGTTAGAGCCTAGCCTGGGCAATTCAGGTCTTACAGAGATCCTGTCTCAGAATTTGAATAACAACTCACTGGGAGGGCCCTGGGGTCAATCCTTGGTACTAGGAAGGAAAAAAAGCCAATATGACAAAAAACACACCTGGAATATAGCAGAAGTGCTTTGCCATTCTGTCCTGGCCCAGGACACCTCCCCTGGGCATGGCCTGTGTTGCACTTAGCAACAGCAGGTGGGGTCGAGGGATGCAATGTTCCAGGGAAGGCCCTGTGGGCATACTTTTTTCAGTCTGGGTCCTCTAGCCTGGGCACCCATGCCTGCCACCCAGAAACCTGGGGTGACGTCAGCCCTGAGGCAAGGCGGGCCCTCAAGTCCCGCTCTTCGCATGCAAGCTCTGGCGACCCCGCCTGAGGAATTCAGAGTTCTTGCATGAGCACCGTCCCACCTCCTCCTGTGGGGCCACTGGCTGGGGCCTAAGGTAGCAGAGCAGCCCCTGTCCTGGTTGAGCATGACGGTGTCTCTCCATCTTAGTTACCTTTCTCATCACTGAGACAAAATACTTGACACCCAGAGTTAAAGGAGGAAAGGATTATCTTGGCTTACGGTCCATAATCTGCTATCTCCACCGCAGAGGGGTATTGCAGAGGAGAAAAAGTTCACAGCAGGCAGAAGACAGCAAGAAGAAGCCTATACTCTAACTTCTAGGCTGCCTGCCTTGGGTGGTACCTTCCATTGTCCGCACCCAGAGCTGTGCTTAGCCAGTCAGGGGGTGAATTTTTAAGCACACACCTTTAATCCTAGCATCGCACATTTAACCCCAGTGCCACACACCCTAGATCCAGCGTCCTCTGAAAAGCCCCACCTGTGACCGCATGAGGCTTTCGGGGGACATCTAGACACAGGCCACAACACCCCCTTCCCCACTTGTGCCTGCCTTCTGCAGTAGACCTGAGTTCAGCCAGCGAAGATGACTTCGACAGCGAGGACAGCGAGCAGGAGCTGAAGGGGTACGCCTGCCGCCACTGCTTTACCACCAGTAAGTGGCACTGTGGCACCCTGGGGGTGGCTGGGGGCTCGTTCCACTCCCAGGGTGCCAGAACTGCTTGTCGCCTGGGAGACCTGCCAGGACTGTGACTGCTCGGAGGTTTGCCCTGTGCCGGGAAGGCTTCCTTTCAAGCCCTGCATAGCAGTCTGCGTGGTTAGGAAGGAAGCGCTTGAGGTTGGGGCCTCCTGAGGCCCGCACTGGACACCTGCAGCCTTCACTGGCCCTGGGTTGTCTGAGTCTTGGTGCTCATGCAAGTCCCATGCTGTGTGCTCTGTGGTACCAGCGTCGGGTGTAGCCTGCCTGCAGGACGGACGGCCCTGGGTGAGGTGGCTCTGAGGTTGGCACCCTGCCCCTGCCCTTACACAGCCTCCAAGGACTGGCACCACGGGGGCCGAGAGAACATCCTGCTGTGCACCGACTGCCGCATCCACTTCAAGAAGTACGGCGAGCTGCCGCCCATCGAGAAGCCGGTGGACCCCCCACCGTTCATGTTCAAGCCCGTCAAGGAAGAGGACGATGGGCTCAGTGGGAAGCATAGCATGAGGACACGGCGGAGTCGGGGCTCGGTGAGTCCCAGCCTTGGCTCTGCTTCGTGGGCACTGTGGGAGGCAGAGGCAGACGTTTCCCTGGAGCACGGCAGGACTGTGGGTTGGCTGAGTGCTCTGTGCCCTGCTCAGGGGCCGTGGCCTGCACACCTTGGCTTTGCTTAGAGAGTGCTTTGGTCTCCTGGTCCCCCAGAACCCCTGCACCCCTTTGGCCAGGCACCCCCAGCGTGGCACATTTCTGTTATTTTAATTTATGCAAGTTTTTTAGTTTTTCCCCAGGGATTTGATCCAGTTTTGGAAACTCCTGGTACATTGCTCTGCTTACTGCTTAGCCTTTTCATAAAGAAGCTTTGTTTCATGGGTTGGAAAAGCGGGGTAGACTGTAGAGAGAGGATTTTTCCAGGCTTAGGGCCGAGGATGAGGACGGCTCCTGGGTCGGTGGGATGTTCGCCCTCGCCACCCTCCTGTCTGGTCAGGGCTGCGGGCACCTGGCTGCTGCCAATGGGGAGAGGTGAGCCTGCCCTGTGGCCTGAGGTGCAGTATTGGAAGCTCCGGCCCTGCCACTTCCCATCCTGTCTGTGACTCCAGGAGTGCTCTGCTTTGGGAGAGGGGCGCTGTGTGGAATGAGAGCCGTCTCCCCCCACCATTTCCAGCAGTGGTCAGGACCGGCCCGGGATGGGTGCTGTGGGTTTGAGAACGGCTCCTCCGGTGTTGCCTGAGCCACCGGTTCACCCTCCCACGCTCCCACACCCAGCTGACCTCTGTGAGCACAGGTGGGACACACCAGACTGCCTGCTGTTCACCACAAGGACTTGCTTCGAGTCTCCTGCCTGTGGCTGGGCTTGGGTGGCGCACGTGGGGCCTAGGCTCCAGCCTCACCAGCTCTGGTTTGGGTTAGATGTCTACACTACGTAGTGGTCGGAAGAAGCAGCCTGCCAGCCCTGATGGTCGTGCCTCTCCCATCAATGAAGACATCCGCTCCAGCGGCCGCAACTCGCCCAGTGCCGCGAGCACCTCCAGCAACGACAGCAAAGCGGAGCCGGTGAAGAAGACCGCCAAGGTCAGGGGCGGGCGCGGGAGCTGCGGAGGCAGAAGCTCACTCAGGGAGTCTGGCCTGGGGCTGCAGATGGAGGCCACAGCCTAGAGAGAGGAGGGCCCCGTTCAGCCCCTAGAGCTGCACTTGGGGACTCCTGCGCCTCAAGGCCTTGGGCAGAGGGTGAGGGTGGCTGGGACGGCTCCCTGCCCTTTGCCGCCTGGGCCCCTCCTGGAGCTTCGTTGCTTCTGGGAGATGAGCTCAGAGTGAGGAAGCCAGCAGCCCTCAGTCATCGTCCTCTCCGGCCCTGTGCTGCAGAAGGTGAAGGAGGAGGCCTCATCCCCTCTCAAGAGCACCAAGCGCCAGCGGGAGAAGGTGGTGTCTGACACAGAGGAGACTGACAGGTCCAGCTCCAAGAAGACAAAAACCCAGGTGAGCCTGCTGGGTGCTCCTTCCCGGGAGAGCTGGAGCTTAGGTCCCTGGGGATGGCGAGGGGCAGGAGCTGGAGGAGCCAGCCGGCTGCTCCCTCTGCCTGTGGCCTGCTCCTTGCCCAAGCACCAGCAGCCCAGAGCAGCCCGGGGTCCTACTCCCTGATGGCCCCTTCTACTCTGCCGCCAGGAGATCAGCCGGCCCAACTCACCCTCGGAAGGGGAGGGAGAGAGCTCAGATAGCCGCAGTGTCAACGATGAGGGCAGCAGTGACCCCAAAGACATCGACCAGGACAATCGAAGCACGTCACCGAGCATCCCCAGCCCTCAGGACAACGAGAGTGACTCGGACTCCTCAGCTCAGCAGCAGACGCTGCAGGCCCAGCCCTCAGCCAACTCGGCTCCCCCGACAGCCGCGCCAGGAGCAGCGCAGCTCCCCACCCCGG